AGGCTGTTGCTCCTGTATCTCCTATCTGATTTTGTTGAAGATTTAGAGATGTTAAAGAGTTGGTGAATTTCAGAGCCATTGCCAAGAATGTTGCTCCTGTATCTCTTATCTGATTTTGTTGAAGATTTAGAGATGTTAAAAAGGAGGTTAATTGCAAAGTCTTTGCTAAGGCTGCTGTTCCTGTATCTCCAATTTGACATTGACTCAGCTCTAATTTGTGGGTAACAAATAGCTCGAGTAGTTTGTTGATCATTTTACATGATGGGCGCTTGTTAGGGTTTTCATCACAGCATTTTGAATATAAGTCAATATAATGTTTAGGGGTTCCAGGGAAAGGGGGATCACAAAAGCCTTCCATTCTGTAGAAAGCAATTTCATAACCTTCACATGGAGATTTTCCACTTGAAATCTCCCAAAGTATCACCCCAAGACTGAAAATGTCTGATTGTTTTCCACGTTTATAAGATTTATCAGTAAAAGATAATGGATCAATATATGCTGCATCCCCTTCTACTTCATGCTTATTCTCTGTGGACATAATATGTTTGAGATCATTAGACAATCCAAATCCTGCTATCTTTACAGTGCCTTCTTGGAGAAGAATATTTCTTGAAGACTATTTCCAATATATAACAATATATATAGTAAAATGTGTAAACATTAGAATATGTTTTGCCATATAATAAGCTACAACAAAAAACTATATCAATACATACCAAGTTTCTGTGAACAATATTGAGTTTATGTAAATGCAACAGTCCATCAGTAATCCCCAAAGCCAGCTTGTACTTGTCCATCCATGTCAGTTTATGGAAGTATCTCTGCAAATATCCAAACAAGGTACTATCTGCATATTCAAATACCATGTGATAATGACCTGTTTATATTATAAATTTAAGAATAAGTCATCAATCACTATGTAAGAAAAACATTATAATATTGCTCTTCATGTAACCTTGACTGTGACATATTCCTAAGAGCTGAATAATGTTCAGATGATCATCCACTTGTTTATGAATTCTCACCTATTATAATTTATTATGAATTGTAAAATAATTCAGTTTATATAGCCTTCAAATGGCAACAACAATTAATAAAAAACAATAGTAGGTAACTAGTAGCAACCTCTTTGACAAAGTGGCTATATAAGTCTTCTTCTTCTCCATATAGATTTGGGTGCAAAGTTTTAATTGCAACTGGTATTCCAGAATGCTTCATCTTGGCTTTGAATACAACACCATGTCCACCATCATCGATAAATGTACGTTCTATGAGGTCATCTTCCGAATAGTGTTTGATAAAACCTTCCTGGACACTCTTGGCCAACCACTCTCGACCTTCGGACATGTTTAAGTGAGTGAAGAAACGAAAACTATTCTTCTGCCCTATAAAAATCTGTCCTACATTTCAATCGTATATGTGTAACAGTCAATCAATACGTTATGGCGTGCTTTCAGTCTAATTGTCTCAAAAATATAATAATTTAACCTCTCAGTATGACGATCGCATAGTAATATCACGTATATGTGATTGCAGTTGAGTTGTCATTAAAATCGTGGTTGACGAAATAATTCCTGGTGGATTCTGTCTTTGTTGAGCGAGATAAGCGGTGCATGTATCCTGTAAATCCATTAAATCCATTACGTATTCGCTGGAAATATTTCGTGACACGCTACCTATACGATTGGGTTTGAAGCCCATCATGGATATGTACTATTCATCGCAGCCAATATCGGTCCCACAATACGATTCTGCCAAAAAGTTTTGATAAACAGAAAGTTGTTTCTGCGTTATAATTGTGTTACAGATCTAGTTAACACGAACACGATTCCGTCGGCATATTCTCTCTTACTTGCCAACATGGTTGGACTTCTATGCAACAAAAACCAAATACACAAGAACTACCACTCGTAGTCATGTTTTATCAGTAATAATAACAGTGCAGTGATGTAAACTGGACATGCGTTAAAGAACATATGATAACATATTTTATTTAAGAAGGAAAGAACTTTTCCATCTCTCGAGACTCCCCAAACATCTTGGGAACCTTCACCATTCAATCTATGATAAAAATTCTCCCCTCAACAATTCCCTCTTTGTGCTTATTATTTTAGATGTATAAATACCTAGTAAAGTTTACTAACAAATATCGTCGTCGTGCACATGTACAATATGTCTCTCGTATTTAATAGGCGTACATAACGTACTATTACGATGCGTAAACAAACTCAAGGCTTGTCACCTGTTGGAGCAGGGTTCATCTAAAAGACGATCAAAGTATTTGTTAAAAAGCGATGAAAAATCATTGTCTCTACATTAATCAACCTCTATGCTTCTCTATAATTCGCTTACCCTTCTCTTGCCACCGGTAAGAGTAACGTTAACAAATCGTCTGTTATAGACCGCACGCTTTTTAGCTCTCCCAGTCTTTTGTTTCTTTTTATCTTGCTTTTCTACCTTTGAAGTTTGAGATTTGACTTTACCCGCACGGGCCAAAGAGCCATGTACCTTACCCTGAGTGATGAGAATAACAGTCAAAGATGAAACCGGGTCAGTTACTTGAAGAGAAAGAACAATCAATAATTTATTAGACCAGAGAAGCGTACCATAGCTTTGATGTGTTTCTTTGCAGTGCGCAGGTATGAAAAAAAGTTTTCATTGTAGTTTGCACTGACTGGCACATTTTGTATTCAGCCAATCGCTATGAGAGTGACGTCAGCTGTGCCGTAATTTTTTAAATGACACTTCTGAAGTTCCTTTTCTTACGCCACAAAATGTAAGTTTTTTTCCTTTCTTTTTCACTGTTCTAGGTTCGTTTTCAAAGACGATAACTTCTTAAATGACTGAAGTATATACCTGTTGACTGTTTTAATATCACCAAGATCTCTGAGAAAAATTGATTACATTCTATACGGCTTTATATTCTAAAGAGTTTGGTCTGGTCTAATGTCGAAAAAAATTTTTCTTTTTTCTTTTTGAAACAGGGAACGTAATGTATTGGATCTGACGATACGATGCAATAGAAAAGTGCTAGATATTCTAAATGGCTTGACAACTGGATAATAGAGGAGTGGGAGAGAATCACTGTCGGATTCTGTAAGTAATGAACACACACAGTTTGTTATCGAACAAATGGACCACCGCTTCATTTTCTAATGACTAACAGATGTTTGGTCGATTCATAATATATGTGTGCAGACATATTTAAAGTATACGTTTGCAGTTATATTACCCGTTTACATTAACCGATAGGGATGTGTTGTAATTGACAATTGGAAACGACAAAACCCGGATGAATATACGGCCTCACGTTAATCCCCGCATAACCGACAGACAATAATGTATTCTGATACTCCTGATATCATTATATCGACGATAGCTGTTTATCTCTTTTATTACTGCCAGATTAGAGATTTCCTAGTTAGCGATCGATCCATTTTCACGCGATTGTCTGATTGGTCCATTTATTATGACGTAATACAGTTCAAATTAGATAGAGGAAAAAGTCACTTTTTCCGTACAGGATACACGTTATTAATATTAAAAGTGTGTTATAATATCCATATAACTAGAAGTCGTCGATCTACCGTTTTCAGTAATAGCATTAAGAGTAAATCAGTTATAGTTTGGTCCCCACAACATAAATGGCGCGCAGACATACACCTCCAGAAATAGATCTAGCTCACTTCGAGCGACCCTCCACATACTGTGTGTTAGATGCTATCAGCCAACAGCTTATACGAGAGCTTTCTAGTTCTCACACCGATGTTTCTTCAATAACATCAAAGGATTTGTCTGTTTTCTTGGGTTCTTTGATGAAGTTTCAAAACCAGCATCTTGGCATCGGAGTTTCTCAGAAACTGTCTCGCTACCCAGTCAAAATACCAATAAAATTGCTAAAGATCGAACCCGCTCCGACACCGACATCACCAGTATATCACGTACTGGCTGCTGCTTACAAGTACAAAGCCATACACGAAATACGACGGTGGGATTGGCAACGAATCGATAAAATAGCAGAAGTAATTACTTATATTAGACAAGAACTTATCAGGCGAGGAGTATTGAAAAACCCTATAATTATGCTTGCGGACAATATTAATGTTGATAAAAAAGCAGATCTGGTGGGAATAATTAGTAGGATGGGAGGTATGTTATGTGAACTGTTGTTAACATTGTTTACGTCACACACAAACATAGAAATCGTTATTAAAGAGCAAATTTTAATTAATTGAATGATCCAATTCCATCACGACAATTCTCCTCACCTCCTTGTTCCCATCCTCCTTCTTTCATTTATTCATCAGGCAGAGTAACAAACTCGATCGACGAAGCAACCCATATAGTACACTCGTATACTACTACTGACACCGAAGAAGCAGACGATGAATGGTTCCGAACGCTCGAGAAAAGAAACGGCCAAGTCTTTGTTCATTGGTGGTACTACCCTGATTCGTATGATCAATGGATACCTGAAACAGACGACCAGGCTGATCCCGAGCCAGCCCCCGATCACACTGGACCTTGGAACATCAGCGCTCGATGGCTGCGCGACAGCGAAGCTTTCAACGAATGGATGAACGAAGAAGATTACGAAATTGATGGAAACGATAGAAGATTATCTGCTGGCGAAGATCAGACAGCAGCAACAACAACGACGACGACCTTTTTGGATACGGGTTCGCTATACAAACGCAGCCACGATTCATATGCTGATCAGACGACATCTGAGATGGACGTTGATATTCAAACGGGAAATCCGGTTGTGAAACGAGCACGGAAAAAGTCGCCAGAGCCTGACGCGGTGCCCACACACAAAAGTATTAAACTTGTAAATATAGAAGAAAGCGCCCCTAAAGTTGGCGTACGCGGACGAAAGAACGAGTTCGAGCCGATACCTGGTGGAGACATTTCCAATATAAGTCAAGAGATTCCTGGAAATATTTCAAAATTGAGTCAGGAGAAGCAGGACAATGACAATTCTGAGGTTGATAACTTGGTTAACAATTTGAATGAAGCTCATTTGGCTCCCGATAATAATGCAAATGGTACGGGGTTTGTTTGTTTTTGTTTTTTTCAATTATTATTGTGTCTGTGTGTGTTGGCAATAAACTGAATTTTTGTATACCCGTTTCATGCCTTCTTATTCACTAGTGATGGACATTGATCATTCGGAGCTTGACCAAGCCGATCTCACAACTTCTGGCTTAACTCCGCAGAATTCTACTTCCGCCATCAGCAAAGAATCCGAAGATCCAGACTCTGCCGCGGAACCCACTTCCGACTCCAAAGCAATGGACGACTCTGGTGCAGCTTCTACACCACAACCTGATAGTGCCAACACTGAATCCAGCATGGCTAATGCAGAAGCTGAAAAGAGACGTCTTGAGGAAGAGGCAAGAAAGTACCTGTCTCAGCAGACGCAAGAGGTTATTATACCCTCGTATGCGGCGTGGTTTGATATGGCGCGAATACACGAGATTGAAAAGAGATCGTTGCCAGAATTCTTTAATAGTAAAAATAAGTCAAAGACACCGAGCGTTTACAAGGAATATAGAGATTTCATTATCAATACGTATCGTTTGAATCCGAGCGAGTACTTGACTGTCACGGCGTGTAGAAGGAATCTAGCTGGAGATGTTTGCGCCATTATCAGAGTGCATGCATTCTTGGAACAATGGGGTTTGATTAACTATCAGGTATTTCAGCAACAATTTTTGAGTTTTCGTCTTGAATTTATTATCCACTTCTTTTTGTCTCTTTCATGCTACTTTTATTCACGAAACTTTATACTCAATATCGCCAACCAGATCGATCCAGAAACCCGTCCATCGACAATTGGACCAGCTTTTACCGGTCACTTCCGCGTGAGTGCTGATACACCACGGGGTCTACAACCGTTCCAACCTGTAATACCATCAATGGTTGGCTCAAGCTCTCAGCAGGCTGCCGTCCCTGGTCCTTCTTCAGTCTCTCGTCTTGTTCCAAACCCAGCCGCTATGCCACTGCCTACAAAGGTAGATCTAAACTTGGGTCTCAGAGAAAACATATATTCAACTGTAGAAACGCCAAGCGAAACGCGACCATCGGAAAAAGCTCCAGCAGGAACCGGCGCAGTCGAAGGTGCAAAACACTACAATTGCTTCACATGCGGAGTAGATTGTACACGTGTCAGGTACCATAATCTTAAAAGCAAAAACTTTGAATTGTGTCCCAATTGTTATCTCGACGGCCGATTTCCCTCTGACATGTTTTCGGGCGATTTTGTAAAGATGGATGAAGCCGTATTCAAACACGCCCAAGATGAGGAGTGGAGCGAACAAGAGACTCTCTTGCTTTTAGAAGGAGTGGAAATGCATGACGATGATTGGAACAAAATAGCTGATCATGTTGGAACTCGCACACGTGAACAATGTATTTTGCACTTTTTACAATTACCGATAGAGGAGCCTTATTTGGGCACTTCGATGGCAGATCTAGGAGCATTGAATTATCAGAGAATTCCTTTCAGTCAGGCGGACAATCCAATAATGTCTGTAGTAGCTTTTTTGGCGTCAGTAGTGAATCCAGGAGTGGCTGCTGCTGCAGCGCAGTCGTCTTTGAAAGAATTAGCGGCCGCACTAAAGCGCGACAAGGATAAGAGAGAGACTAATGGAATTAATGGGTCCGATAATGTAGAAGAAATTCCCACCACTACCACGACAACCACGACAACGACCACCACTACGACAACAACGACTACAACGACATTGAGCGCCGCTCCATCACCATCTGTTAAGCAAGAAAATGCCATGGATGTCGACCAACCGTCAACCTCTACCGCCGACGTAGATCCGTCGTCACAAGAAGCATCGTCCGACTCTCAATCTACAATCGCTCGTTCGACTCTAGAAAAAGCTGGCGCCGCAGCCCTTGGTTCAGCCGCAGCCAAAGCAAAACAGCTAGCCGATTACGAGGAGCGCGAGATACAACGTTTGGTAAACACGGTGATCGATGCACAGCTAAGAAAACTCGAATTGAAGCTATCACAATTTGAAGAACTCGAGGCTCTTCTCGATGCAGAGCGGAAAGAAATAGAAAAACAACGACAGCAGCTCTTTAACGATCGATTGCTGCTTCGCAAGAATGTCCTGCAAATACAAGATCAATTAAAGCATTCTGGAATTAACCCTGCTGTAGGACACAGTTATGCTTCGAGCTCGGGAGCGAGAATTATAAGTAGCGTCGAATATGCCGCGGCTCAACAAGCGGCCAGTAGCATACAGGATGCAAGCATGCCGTATGGAAATGTTCCGGGAACATCTGGTTCAGTAGGAGGAGATAACCTCCAACTGTAATTTTTTTTTTAATAATGTACTACTTATTGCCAGTTGTACAAAGGTTACCCCACTATCTGGAAAAAAAATATAAACAAGAGTCGTTTCTTATGTAAATGTCTCGTCTTTAAAATAAAATATTCATTCTATAAATACATTTCGTAATATAGCTTAATGTAAGTGTTTCTGGTAATGTCCGTGGAATGATGTGGAGTGTAATGCATATATAGTCGATTGGCGGTGACACGAACTAGATCGGTTAACAAACAAACTTGCATATTAATCACAACACACAGAACGCAGAAACAAAAGATAATCTTTCTGTCGAACGTGTTGATAGCCTTATTTTTATTCTCTTCATAAACGAACGCTGGAGACCAACGTCTGAGTACAAGCATCGAGTATCGAACAGTGAATAGTGAACACCTAACCTAATACTAATAACCATCTAAAGTGTATATTGGGCGAATTAGCACATTTCAGATGAAAAGTGTATAATAATGTACAAAGCAATAATCCGAAGAAGTAAAACTCATACTCGAAATAGATGATCATATAGTGATAAACAACCATCGCAAAAACCACGACCTAACTAAAAATGTAGAAACAACAACTGACTCGATAGTTTTTTTTCCTTACCCGATAGGCAAAAGTATCGCACACCTACAATTTATTAATTGTGCAAAACTGTAAATGAAATCGGGTTAAAAGGAAACTTAATGTCTTTGTTACAATGTTAGTCGTTTCTTTCCTTGAGCCAGCGTATTGTGTATGCAGCAACAAGCATTTAACAGAAGCTTTGGAAAAATTTTATACTACGAATGTTTTTACGCGCGTCCGCACAATAAACGACTAGTCGATCATGTCGTACTGCTGATCAATTGCTATTTCTCTTTTAGTTTTCAATCCAATGGCGTCGTGATTCTCGCATCTTGCCGCATTTGGCCTCCTATCTCTTTACTGTTACATCTTTTACATTTTTATGGTTTGTACTAACGCTACATCACTTCGAAACAAATCAAACACCATAATTTTTATTTCAAAAAACTAGACTCTTCAAATACGATATCCTAATACTGTATGTAGAGCAATAAATATTTGTCGATAACAAATAAATGTCAAATAAAAGACTAATAGTTAACCGATTTTTAATAAACATTATTCAAAATCAATTCACTAAATTGTTGCGGTCTTTGTTTATTTTAGACATCGATTAGAATCTACTTCACCAGCAGGACAAATTATAATATAATATGTATAGTAAACCGTTAGCTTACTTGACAATATAAATTTGTATACTTTTATTAAAGCTAAAAAAAGAATTCAAAGACGTATTTACTTCACTATAATGACATTTTCCTGTACAGTGAATGAAGATCGAAAAAATTGTTGAAATAGTCATCTTCCATCATAATTTCTAATTTTTCGATTCTACTCAGACTGGTATACCAAGTAGTTATAATTGTTAATTTAACAACCATTTCATCGGCCAGTGAAAAAACTCCTTAAATTATCAAGCATAATGTAATTTTTTTTTTCGCAGTGTTTATTCATACTCTCACGCCATACTACATGGCGTTGTTACAAAATGGAAACATAAAAGTTTGACACGTAAATTCAACCCCCCACATGTTATGTTTATTCCAAAACAGTCCATGTCTTTAACTTCAAAAAAGTTGCCCGGGGTCAATAGTTAGTCGAGGCCAAGCTCATAATCTTCCAAGGAGTGATGGACATCACAATCAAATCTGTGCACATACAACAGCAACGACGACGGCGGCAACAGTAACAACTAGAACAACAACAGTAGCAGCAACAACAATAACAGCAACACGAACAACAGCAACGGCAAGAACAACGGCAATGGCCAGAACATCTACAGCACCAGCACAACATTCATTACGGCATCTGCATCAAACCATTTACCTCTCTATTGCCGCATGACTACCGAAAATAAGACAAATACACTCATATCAAAATCATAACGAAAATTATGTTATCGCTTTACCGGTATTATCACAGAGATTCAAGGCGTAGGCTCATTGTAACGCCCAAAAAATCGAGTCCCAATCATTGCAACAACAAACCAAGTTACGTTCTAACACAAAGGAGAGAAAACTCCGTTCTCTTTTTTTAACGAATGCAGTATTTCTGCACACACGCCTGTCAACTCCCTTTACTCGGTCGAACAATGAAACCTTAAGCAAGAAAATAAATATAGCTTTTGGCATTTGACAACAGTCAATTATACGTTCAACTAAGTAGCATTGTGTACATGTATTGACAACCAGCCATTCACAAAGAAACTCCATCTAACCCCTCTCAAAATAAATAAAAAAGTTAAGCGCTATCCGAAGCTTCTCCAACATTAACAAAAAAAACCACCATTACCGAACACATTAAAGTAAATAAAGAAACCCAGCCAACAGATGTCATGAAAAAGGCACGTCGTTTATATCGCTCGCTCGTTGTTTTACGAACAGTTAATAATTTTGCAATATGCTTTCAAGTAAATTTCGTATTATAATAACCTAATTGTGTGTATTCTGTTAAGATTTGTTACTAATTCATTTTATTTGCTTGCCTAATAAATTAGAACACTCATTCACAGCTCTCATACTTGTTATATGTCTCAAAAGAGAAAAATCTATGGCTATACCTTCGCTTTCAATTACCAAAATCACGTTGGGCCCCCCAATTGTTAACTAACAATTGGATATCGCTTCGATTCAACTCCAACTACCCAAGTTTTAACTAATTTCGTTAGTAACATTATAATTTTATTGTTTCTTTACATGCTCAATTCATTTCATAAATTTTTCGGTATTTCTTGTGATATTTATATATTTGAGAGGTAACATATTTTGCCGATTTACCGATAATTCTTATGTCTATAAAATTCATATATTACCCCGTTTTGGCAAAATCTACGAACAGTTATTAAACTAACAGAATCGAGAGCATGAGAAACGGTTTCTTGTAATCCACTTTATTTCGTGTGTAAGGTTTGGGCTGCTTCCATTTAAAATTGTAAACCGTAATTTTTGTGTTCTGCATCGCCTGTTCTATCATTCTTACGTCTAATGTAAAAGTCTTAGGGTTTGAAAGTTAAGTAATTTATTTCAAGTTATAGCCACAAACAAACTTTCGCTTACTAATTTGCGGCTTTTTATTTAGCAAAAGGCATGATCACAGCAAACCATTTTTGAATAGTAGACTGTTCTTGAACTTTCCAGATTTCTTTTCATTATTACTAACAAAACAAGGAAATCAAGTAATCAAGTTGTTATTATCATTGTTTGTAATTTATTAACGAGACGTAATACTTCATCAAAAACAAGACATTAGATTTGAAAAAGTTTTTCACTTACTGTAAAATATTAACTGACAAATCACTTTTTTTTATTGTATCACATGGCGAGTAAAATATAAAAATAATAAAAATGAATCACAGAATAATTATTAAAAGAAATTGTGTCTTATTACAAAGCGCACGACCTAACATTAAAGTATTTATGCTTTATCCATTTACAAATGGTAATAATAATTTTAAAGTGTTCAAATTGTTAATACAAATATTGGAACATGACAGACCTATGCCTATCCATAAAATGGCCTGGACACCAGGGATGAAAAACTTTAGTGTTATTACTAGTCTACCGCCATATTAATTCCAGCCGCGGAGCAAACAGTCCCACCCCACCAAGATCAGTATTGTAATAAAACTCGGTATTTTCTAATGCTCATCACTATGGGTGGACACCATACATATTGCAATTTAATGTTGTTGCATATATCACTATCAACAAGTCATTGGAGGCTGTCATTGCTCTATAATTTCGTCCTTGAGAATCTTTTGTAATTTTCGGTTTATGAAACTTGATTCCAAGCGACGCTTTTTCACATGTCATACATCCTAAAGTTGTGGTTCTTCATAGACACATGGCTGGTATCACTCGCTTCAATAGAGAGGGAGGGAGTGGTTGGTCTGTCCAGAACCCTCTTTGTCTGACACCAACCGATGGTTTATGGCAGAAAGATATTGACAAAACCATTTATACAATGTTAGTGGAAAATCCCCAGTCACAACAAAAGCGTCAAACTCTATACAGTGCATACCCCTTTTTTCTTTTCCATCAAGATCGTTTCTAAAAGTTGAACTTTCAACTCATGAGTGTTATCTTTCTATCCAAGTTATTGAGTGTCTTTTATGAACAAACGATTAATGTTGTGACTCAAACTACCGTCTCCAGTTCTCTTCATGTTCAATATTAAGTCTGTTTGCCAATGGCTTCTGAAATAAGGTTGATTGCTAAGACAACTCGATTGGATCGAAGATATACACTCTATGTATGTCTGTATAGAGAATAGAACCAGAAGAGAAGTATGTCTTTGAGTTGGTAGGTGTTTTTGAGCTGGTGTGTTTTTGAGTTGACGGTTCGTATTTGTTTTCGTTCTTATTATTTCTATAGGCTACTATAATACCTGCAATACAGGAACAATATTTAGATCGTCTAGAAAGTAGTCCGCTCAATGCCTGTACTGGATACAAGTGCCTTTGAGTTGGTATGTCTTTTGTAGACTTGAATATCCAAAATAATAAAGATCTTTAACTGAATGTTGTTGACGACGAGGGTTCTTGGCAGGCTGACCGGCTGAACCCTAGCACATATGACGACATGCTTCTCAAGGTTTGGGATTATACGTCTATTCGTATCCAAATAAGGGTGTCTTGTTTATTCCCAACAATTATCGACTTCCTTCTCTAAAAGCATTATTTTCATGTCTTGTTATACGCATCGTAGTTGGTAATAACTAATTGATGTGATCATTTGAACAGGAGTGCTTATTTTCGGTAATTGTAAACAAACTGATTTAAATTTCTGTTGTCGTCACCTGAATCTCATTTGCCTGTGGTAAACTTTCATTGGTCAATCAAAGCATGCATGCTTGTCCTTCTGGAAACGAGAGTAACCTCATATTACCATATCAAGTATTTTCTTGGTATATCATACCAAATC